CTTTAAAAACTCAATGTTGTAGCCTTTTTTTTATGAAGATCAGTATATTATTACAAAATTTTCACAAAAATATAAATTAAAAAAGGATAAAAAATATCTTAGAGTACTTAAACTTTATTTTCAATTAACAACTTTTTAGTGTAACTCATAGATTTGTTTATTTATTGGAAATCAATTTTCTTAAAATCTGACTGTAGGATTTAATATTTTTTTTTTTAAACTTCAGATAAATATGTTCTATATTTATTATATTTTTCTGGTCACTGCTTCAACTTTTTTTTAATATAAAAATTTCTTTTTACTGTTATGACTATTTACTAATATATTTATATATATATATATATATATATATATATATATATATATATATATATATATATATATATATATATATATATATATATATATATATATATATATATATATATATATATATATATATATATATATATAATGAATATAATGAATATTGCAACAAAAAAGTAAAAAATGCAGTAAAAAAGAATACTCTTATGCTAAGACTTATATATATATATATATATATATATATATATATATATATATATATATATATATATATATATATATATATATATATATATATATATATATATATATATATATATATATATATATATATATATATATATATATATATATATATATATGTATATATGCAAGTATGCATTTTTATAAGTGCATCTATCTGCATATATAAACTGTTTAAGGGCATATATTTGCATATTTATACTTAAAAAATAGGGAAAGTCTTAGCATAAGAGTATTCTTTTTTACTGCATTTTTTACTTTTTTGTTGCAATATTCAACAAACTTAGTCAAAGTATAATAAAATATTTTCATTTTATAATAATCTCAAAGCAGTTAAACTTGTTGGATAATTTTTTTTATAATTATTTTAGTTTTTAGTTATGTTAATATTGATTTGATTTATCTGACTTACTTATTTACAGTTAAACTATTTTAAAAATTACCAACTCTTGTTTGTGAACAACAATTGATGAAAATGAAGCTTTTGGGAGATCACAAATGCTATAATTGGAATATAACATTGAGAGCAAGAAATCAAACAAAACATTTTATGCAGATGAACATGTGAAATTTTATGGAAAAATTTTGGGAATTATCATGTTTTTTATTTCTGCTATACCATACATAGTGCAGCAGAAATAAAAATCAAAACAAAGACATTTTGTTTTTTATTTCTGCTACACCATAGCAGTTTTTTATCCTTTTTTAAAGCCTAAGCTTTAAAAAAAGATTAAAGAAATATTTTGTTACACAACATTACATACTTGTTAATATAAGACAGCTTTGTATTAAAATATAATAATACAAATATGTTATTCATAGTTCATGCCCTTAATATATATACATATATATATATATATATATATATATATATATATATATATATATATATATATATATATATATATATATATATATATATATATATATATATATATATATATATATATATATATATATTTGTATTATTTATATTGTTAATATATTTTATTGTTACATCCAGTATCAGGAATTAGCTAAATTACTAATATTTATAATATAAGAACGAAATTTTTGGTACTAAAAAGTAATTTTGCTTTTTTTTTTGTTACTTGCATTATAGTTTTGTTGATATACTTGTTTGTCAACTTGCTTCTCGTGCAGCAGCCTTGTTTATTGAGGTTTATGTTTCGGAGTTATAGAAAGGGTTGTAACTACAAAAGTAGCCTCCTCGACTGTAGTCGGTGTAGAAGTGAATAATTAAAAAATGTATATATATATATATATATATATATATATATATATATATATATATATATATATATATATATATATATATATATATATTACAAACGAATATTAGCAAATTTAGCTGATTTCTGGTACTGCAGGTAAAAGTATCATAAAAAGAGTTTTATATCAAAATACAATATAAGCAATTTTGATTTTATGAAGCTTTTTAAATATTATTTAACTCAACTTATGATTAGAACCGTAAGCCCACTGTATTATTATCAGCTTATTTATTATTAAGATTTTTAAAAATTTATTTATCAATATGTTTTATTAAAGTTACCTAATATTTTTAATTTCAGTTAGAGCATAAAAGTAAAATTGTTCACACTTCGTTTTGATGTTAAATACTTCATACTTATAAGGTCGTCCCAAAAAACAATATTTTTAAAAAATATAGCTGCCACCTCCTAATGTGTTTTATATGATAAAAAAATACTGGTTTTAAAATTTTTTTGAAGAAAAATATTTTTGGAATGCCTTAAACATATAAAGAGTTCCTAGTATTATCAATTAAAAAAATCTTCAAAAGTGTATCTTGACATTTCGTCTCAAATTAAGCGAAATCATGAAAATTTCAAATATGATAATTATTTTATAAAAAACTTATTGAAAAAAAAAATATTGCTAAAAATTGGTAAAAATGGACATTTTTCTTTTTTAGTTAATAAAATTCATTTTTTATGGTGTTAAATCTAACATTGAAATTTTCATATAATTTTGCTTCATTTAAGACCCAACATGATACACTCAAATAATTTTTTTTAATAATATTAGGAACTTGTTTTGTTCTTTGGGGTCTCAAACGAACATAACAAGTTTCTAAGGGTCTTGAGAGAGTCATTAAAATATTTTAAAATTTTTTTTAAAAACAGTTTTTTTATTATATAAAACACATTAAGCATATATTGTTCAAAAATGTTCTTTTTGGAAAAACCCTATTAAATAATAATATTTTTTTTGGCGTCTTGGAATGTCCTGGATAATTACATTTTTTTCAAAAATGTCCTGAAATGTCCTGGAACTTTTTTTTTTTCTGAGTCAAGTTAAAAAATTACTAACAATATTGAAGTAATATTAAATTTTTTATGCAAAAATTTTTTTTATATAAATGGTTTGAAATTAATTTTAAATAAGAGAGTAATAATAATATTATAATATAATAATAATAATATAATATTCTATTCTATAATGAAAAAAATATAACGTAAAAATAAATTGATAATATTTATTTAATAAGATATAAATTGTCCTGGAAAACGCAACAAAAATTTCCATATATTTTTACAACTACATAGCTTTAACAATACATACTTTTATTACAAATAGTTTTAACAATATATACTTTTTTTACAAATACAGTCAAAATGCTTTGAAAATAACTGAAATAATACTAAGATATATTTGATGTACAAAGTAATAAAATAATGTAAAATAGTTTTTCAGTTCATATTTTGAAAAGACAAAAAAAGTCTTAAAAAATGAAAAATTAAACCTTTAGTTATGTAGTCAAGGGAAACTCGCAGAAAACTGTGTAAAGTCTTGTCATCGAGAACCCTTTTTTTTAAACAATTTCATGAGATACTCATAAATATTTTATTCATTACTTATTACATTTTTCAATATAATTAGTCGTGTTTTAAGGAAGGAGCATAACATATATACATATATATATATATATATATATATATATATATATATATATATATATATATATATATATATATATATATATATATATATATATATATATATATATATATATATATATATGTATATATATATATATGTATATATATACACATACATACACACACATATATATATACATATATACATACATACATATATATATGCATATATACATACACACATACGCATACACACACATATATATATACACATACATACATACACACAAATACATACACACACACAAATACACACATACACACATACATATATATATTTATACATACACACATACATACATATATATATACATACACACATACATGTATATATGTATATTCATACTTTTTTTTATTATTATTATTATTATTATTTTTTTTTTTTTTTTTTTTGTTATTCACCTTTTTTGTTATTCACAAGGCCGAGAAGACCACTACAGACGAGGAGGCTACTTAATAGTGGTTATAACCCTCTCTCAACTCTATAACTCCGAAACACGAACCTTGACGAACAGGGCCGCTGCGCGGAGAAACAAGTTGATATATATTATATATACTTATATTATATTATATATATTATATATATTATATTATATATACTTGTTTTAAATTCTATAAGCGCTCTTTACAACCAATTTAATTTTTTAAAAAAATGGTCATCATTATATATGTTGCCCACCATTTTATTAAAGATTTTGATGAATTACGTGAAATTTTAACTGCAATGCCCTTTTTGAGTCTCGAGTTACATTAGTTACATCAAAAATACAAAATTTTTACAAAATAAAGTTCAATAAACTTTTTTCATCTTGTTTATGTTTCTGCTATTCTTCAAATAACTTCATTTTTTTAAAATAAAAACACATGATTTTAATAAAAATCATATTACAAAAAACTTTAATGTTGCGACAAATTCTACAGCGTTGTAGAGCTAAGATCTTTGGCAGTACACTATTAAAAAATTAACTTGAATATATGTAGATGAAAAATTAAAAAAAAAATAATTACAAAATCAAGAAAATTATATTTTAAAACTAGATCGGTCTTATTGTGATTTGGATCAATGTTAGCAGTAGAATAAGGTGTAACTGAATCATATTGTCGTCGGTATACAAGGGAAATGCATTAGTCCATTTTTAGCAGTATAGAGTTATTTATACCACTATTTAGTATTTTAAATTCTCGTTCGCTTATATATACCACACAAACTTAATAAATCAATTATTTTGATTTTTTATTTCAATTATTACACAAAAACTTATTATTTTAACTATTACGCAAAAACTTATTTGTTCATTATCTCAAAATGATGTTTTTGGACTTTAATATCCCTTGTATATCTAAATGAATAAATTAGACAGCATAAAAAGTCATGCACTCATGTATACTTTTGCTGTTTAGGCCAGATGGAAATCTGAAAATCGTTTGAACAAGAATCATTGAAATAAAATAAAAAAAAACATTTGAGTATTTCAAGAGTGATTCTTAAGCGAGTCATTAACATCAAAGCGAGTCAGTAACATCAAAGCGAGTCATTAACATCAAAGCGAGTCATTAAGATCATACTGAATCTTGTAAAACTTTGTTTACATTTTTGAGCACAACGCGAAATAATACCAGAGAATAATATGAAGTGAAAAATTTTTTTAGTTTTTATCCAAAGTTTGGTTTTTATCCAAAATAAGTTTGACCTACTTTTACAAAAAGTTACACTTTTACACTCTTAACAAAATGTCGTTTGTTCTAAAATTAAAATTGTTACGAACGTGTCTTAAGCAGTTAAAAATCATTTTATCATCAATCAAGAATTGCTCGTTCATACGATCATAATTGGTACTACAAATGAGATCAGCCAATTTTATCACATTTCTATAGTCGTGCAATGAATAGATTTGAATTATAAAATTGCAACATAAATGAACATTTTGATATCACAGTTACAACTGCAGGATTAACAAAAAAGGTGAGCAATTAACTGGCTATGTTAGATTTAAATTTGGAGAAGACGCGAGGCTAAGAGTATGATGGTGGTAGTTTTATGAGGAAAAAAAAAACAGAGTTTAAAAACTATAAGGAGATTTGATAACTGCTGCACTGCATATATTGCTCATGCAATGTATGCAGTGCAGCATGCATACACTACTCTCGCAGTGTCATGCATACATTGCCTCTCATAACCAAAACTTGGTTAACGATGGTGCAGTTAAAGCCAATTAAGCTACCCTAAAGTTTTTTGAAACATTAAGTCAGATTTTCAACTCTTTAGGATACAGATTGATGCCGCAGTCCGAACTGGTTTCCCATTACAGCAAGTATTGGCATTAAAGTTGAAGTTTGTCTAACGAGGTGGTCTTCTTGACTAGATTTATTTAGTGCTCTAAAAATAGGTATGTTAATATTCTTAAAAGTCGTGTGAATCATTTTTAAAACATAAGATTATCAAAACCTAACTACGGTTTATGATTTTTAAAAGATCGACTTTTTGGATTACCTTAATTAGCAATTGAAAATAATGAAGCTACACTTTTGAACAACGAAAAGGTTATTGGAGTTTTTACAAATAAAAATCATTTGCTAATAAATTTACTAAATAAAACGTTATTTCAGAAATGATTTACTAATGAGATTGTAGTTAAAAATGAACGCTTCTAGTCAGACTTAAGACTGTGTTATCTTATGCATATTTTTAACAATAACTCAAAAACAAACTTTTTCTAATTTATTGAGCTTCATTTGAGAGTTTGTTTGCTGTCAAAGACTCACAAATTTAAATTTTTATAGTAAAATATTGCAGTATTCAAAAATTATGACTATATAAAGATTATGACCATATATATGTATATATATATATATATATATATATATATATATATATATATATATATATATATATATATATATATATATATATATATATATATATATATATATATAACCGCGGATATAAGTTTAAATTCACTTAAAAAACTTGATAAAAATAAAAAATAATATACTTTAAATATATAAAACTCAGGCCAAATCAATAAATTGATTTTAAGTTACAATTGGGGAATCGCTCAAGTTGTATTTTATTACTGGGATTCCCCATTATTCTCGATTTTGTAATAAAATGTAACTCAAATTTGAGTTGCTTTTATTTTATAATTGTAACTTAGTGTATAATAATTATAAAAAGTGTAAATAGGAAATAATAATTATAAAAAGTGTAAATAAAAAGGAAAAAAATCAAAATGATTTGGCAAAAACTGAACCTGGCTTCGGCCGAAGCCAGGTTCAGTTTTTACCAAATCATTGTCTTTAGCGAATTATTTTAGGTAACTAAAGTTAACTTAGGTAACTATGGTAACTTAGGTAACTAAAGGTGCTAAGCTACTGTTATATCATACATAAAATGATTTTATTGTTTACGATACAATTACCATAATTCTGCCACTTGTAATTTGCTTCTTTACTTTGATTCGTTGACGTATGTGGTATACATAGTACACATTGCAATTTTGCCTGCTTATCGAAATCAATAGGTACTATATTTTATTTAAGTTCTATGTTTAAGTATTTTCCGTTGTTGTATTCACAAGCCTATTTTCACTGTATTTTGTATTGAGTTTTTTTGCGCTTTAAAACTTAAGAACGCACTAAATTTATTTCAAATAAATATTTATCAAAATATACTGTTCATGAAAAACTTAAACACTAAAAGAAAAAGTAGTATGAACAAAAAAATCTAAATAAAATTGCTATTTCATTTATTTATTTATTACAAATTTAATTAAAAATTGATATTAATTTTAAAATTAAATTAACTAATTTTTACTAATATTAACTAATTTAACTTAATTTTTAAATTAAATTAATTTTTTGAAATTTGTTATTTTTTTATTTTCTCTGTTTTTGCTTTGTTGTATTCAGCCCTGTTACTAGATATTTATTTACAGGTATACACACCGTAGCTGCCTGTAGGCAAAGTTATATAATTTAATTATGTTATATTTATATTATGGAAAAATTATTGCGAGCAGACACCAACTATTCAAGAGCAGGTGGTGTCTGCCTGTATTTATGGTCTAGTTGCATTTTATATTTTTAAATTTCCGTGCACCGCATAATTATTTATCAACTATAAGTTTTTATTCTTTATTGTTTATAAATTGAAAAAGAGTATTCTTTTTTCGTTACTTGATTAAAGATTTTAAATTTTTATTTTATTTTATTTATTTAAATAATTATTTTAAATTTTAAACTATGATTCATAGCTTTTTCTTTTTTTAGCATGGACAAAGTCAACTTCTACCTTAGCTTTCCACGATTACCATAATTGAATGCCCTTATAAGTGGTGGGGTGCTTACAAATTACACCTGCTCTGATAAAGACAATAACAAGTGGGATTTGTCAAAGTTCTCAATTAATGTATTGCTTGCACTTCCTTTATTTGTTAAAAGTGAATGTCTGTTCATCACAACAAGAAACATGTTTAAAGCCAAAAGAAACAGGCTGTTGTCTGAGTATGGAGAACAAAATCGCGTTTTTAAATTATAATTTGCCTAATTTCTTACAATAGATAATTAATTTAAACGCAAAGAACTTAGTTGTAGTATAGCTACACTCTATAATCCCATGACGTTGTGTAATTAAAAAAAAAACTCTATGATTTGTGGTGGTAATGAAATACTTTGTGCGTTAAAATACATATAACTGCAGTACATATATTTTGCGATATGCAGTACATGTAATTATTTAAGTAAATGTTAAAAAATATTTTTGAATAATTAGATATATCTGCGAGATATATCTGCGAGATATATCTTCGGTATATCTCTAATTTTTTCTTAAGAAAAATTTTATTAAATAATATTTTTTATTAAGAAATGGTGTGAACTTAGGTGAAGGAATGCGAAGGTAGAGTATTCTTTTGCATTCGCAAGGAGAAACATTGTAAAAATATTGAAATGTGTCCGCGGTGCCGTGCAACTAACTTTAAAACGGCACAAAACCTTTGGAGTCTTAAAGTAGATGTCGAACAGGAAGAAAAAAGAAAACTACATCTCGAGAAAACCGAATGATATCACGTTTTGGAAAATTGTCGTAAATAGTCTTAGTTGCTATCATATGACCTTGCAGAGGCAAATGGAGTCTACATTTCTGCAGAATCTGTCAGAAAAAGATTGACAGAATGTGGATTAAAAGACTACAAGGCAAGAAAAAAATCTTGGCTCTCAGAAAAAAGTAAGAAAAAAAGATTAGAATGAGCGATACGTCACAAAGGTTGGACATCAGCAGAGTGATGTAAAGAAATTTATTCCGATGAATCCAACTGTACTGGGGCACAGTGAATGAATAAACACAGCCGTGAATTAATGATAGTGAATAGGGACATAGCCAATTAACTTTGATACTGAGAGAATAAAGACACTGTACACTATTCTTTTGGCATACTTTTATTAATTAGATTAGTATAAAATTGAAATAATAGACATTTGAAAATTGAGAATAAAAAAAAAAGAATTTCATTGATAACAAAACTTATAAAATTATTAAAAAATTAAAAACTTATTCAAATATTATTTATAACTTGAAACTAATAAATTCATTTTTCATGTTGTTTGTTTGTTAAAATCCATGCATTTAATCTTTAAGATCCTTAATGGGCTATAGTAAATCAACATATTCACTGTACCCCGATTCACTGTGCCCCACCATAACAAACTAAGTTTAAGTCTAATTTCTTGGGACATAAGTGTTGTTAAAGGAAAAGCTAAACTACTAAAAGAAAGCATAAATATAAATAATCCGAATAAAAAACTTCAACTTTTAAAATTATTTCAACCATGATCTCCATAACAAACATAAGGAAGGTAAGAAAATTTACTTTTGTTAGTTAAAAACAAAAATTACCTACCAAAAACGGGTAGTCAAAAGTTATGTGGTTGCAACTATGAATAAAGATTGCTGATATGTGAACACATAAAATTATTACATTATCAAGATGAACAAAATTCTAATCTTTGAGTGAATAAAATGGGTACAGTGAACAAAATGTCTTTTATTCACTGTGCCCCTCGATCCACTGTACCTCAACTTCCCCTATAATATAAAAACTTTTTATTTTGTACACTTTAATGACGTAGGTAAGAGAAGCAAAAATATTAAATACTAAGAAAGTGTCATGAAAACAAAAATATTATTTTATACAACTATCTTGAACTTTGAAGCCCGATTTTAAAATTACTTAAAAATATATATAATTAGTGTACAGCAATATTATTTCTCATCAAATTTGTTTTTTTGTGTTCAATAGTTCAGTTTTATTTCATTTTTTTTCAAAGATGCTTAACTTTCCGCAACTAGACAAGGTGTCACATTAATTAGGTTTTCAAGAGAACTGTAAGACTTTGGAAACAACAGCTAATTTTAATCGGACGTCCGTTAAATTGGTAAAATATCAACACTTAAGCGATCAAAATAAAAAAATCTATAAGCATACTAAAAAAAAAAATAGTAACAAAGTTTTTTTTTTTAATTTTTGGTCTAAAAGAAAAAGTGCCCGTGTATCGTACTCAACTGCTTTCCAGCAATCTTTTGTTGCGCATTGTGTTAACATTCTATTAAATTCCCTGACTTTCATCCATTAGATGTTTTGTCATGTGATGCATAGTTTTTGAGATATTTTAATCGCCCAACATGCCCCAATGCTCAACCAAATTAGTTAGCCGGATTAGTATTTTTCGAAATTAATAGAGTAAATTTAAATAGCAAAGCTCATGATGTTTTTGGCATTTATAACGTTAGACGCAAGTTTTTCCAAATATTAACAACCCTGAGGAAAAAACTATGATATATTATATAAACTGGATGTCTAACTTGCAGGATTTAATTGGACAAAAAATGGAGCCGCTTATTTTTTTGTTCAGTTCGCCATTTTTAAAAAGGGCAAAAACTGAAGCCGATGTGTGGAATAAAAGTTGAAAATGCAAGTTATAAGTACCAAAAATTCCCAATTCAAAAACACGTTTTAATTAGGGAGCGTCAATTATCGTTTGACATCGTTAAATACGTCAATGCATTGTATTCGATGCATCGAACACGATGCAACAAACGATTAATCGTGTGCGATGCATCAAATACAATACATTGAATGATTCATCGTGTTCGATGCATCGAATATGATGCATCGAACGATTCATCGTTACACGATGCATCGAAAGACTGGATCGTTATTTACGTTATAACAGTTCAACGAATTCAACGATCGTTATAACAATTCAACGAAAGAATAAAAATGAAATAAAAAAAATAAAAAATAAAAAAAACAGCTAGATTTAGAAATAAAATTTTATTTAGTTACTGTTGTTTGCTATTAATCATCTACAATAATGGAAAAGAAATTTTACAAAAATTAAAATTTTTTTTGTGGGAAATAAGTCAAACTATAAAATTGTTCACACCTTTCATTTTCTTCATCTTTCTTAAGTTTTCCTAGGTTGTTCCTAAAACCCGGCCCGGCCCAACCCGGCCTGGCCCAAAAACCTAAAAGCCGGCCAAGGCCATTTTTTTTCGGGATAAACTAACTAATATATTTATTATATCAAGTTCACAAGTATTAAGGAATAATGTTTTATTTTTTTTATTAAAAATAATACATTTTTTTACAAAGTTGACAAAAAATTATTGAGATTTTATAAACCAGTGATTTATTTTTTCAAATGCATCGGCTACATAAAAAAGTGGTGTGAGAAGATTGGTATGGTGCGCAGGCATTATGGCACCAACGATTGCACTGATCACACTGAGACCAATTTAAACGAGCCCCACGGGGTTTAACACAAAACGGTGGGCCGGGCCGGCTTTTAGTTTTTTGGGCCGGGCCGGGCCAGCTTTTAGGTATAACCGTTTTCCTAGGCGTTGTTGTCAATCTCCGCCTTAATCTCCGCTATCAAAGAAGTGCTTCCTTCCGGGTTATTAACCACTTTTCCAAAAGTTTGGATTTTCAAAATTTTGCAAGACCTTCTTACGTATCCAACTGTTGTTTTTTCTTGAGGCTTTGTGTGCACTAATCAACACCTATTGCGGTTTATTGCAATATATTGCAATATTATTGCGCTTTCAATTAAAATTGCTATATATTGTGCAATTAACTGCCAAATAAAATAGCAATAAAATTACAAAAATGAAATGTGTTTGTAAATGTAGTTTAGATGCATTTAAAAGATAATAATTACTATGCCTGTCAAATTACCCGTGTCATTTTTTTGTTTTGCATAAACTTAATTTGTTTTTAAGCAGTAGCAAGATTATTGTTAAAATATTGCAATATTATTGCAATATTATTGTAAATTACTGCAGCTATTTATGGCTTATTCAAATATTATAAAAAATTGTAAAGATGCTAACAAGACGTAATATTGTAAGGTGTGTTATTTGTAAAACTTATAATATACTTTTTAATTAAAAAAATCTTTTAAAAACTGCACACTTTAATATTATAGTAAACCCTCAAGTAAAAACGTATGTAAAATAACAAAAATTATTTCAATGCTATTTTCTACAATAAAAGTTATATTAAAGCAATGTTGCTTTCGTTTACTACTTCTATCATGTTAGTGTTTACTTAAGTTGTTGCATATATGTTTTACTTTCGTTAGAGCATATTTATATTTAAAAAGTGAATTTTTAACTGTGAATACTACTCACAACTCTAGATTAAGAGTAAAACATCTAAAAATTGATTATAAAAGCTGTCATAATTTCAAAGATAGTAATTTTACTTGCAATTTTAACTGTCAATATTGCGATATTTTTCGCCCAATATATTGCCAATCCATTGCAAGACATTGGCAATATTGGACAATATAATTGCAATATTAAAAAAAAACGTTGATTAGTGTGTGTCTCTGTCATTGTATCTTCCTTTTCATGAATGATAGATTGTAATATGTTGGGTGATGTGGTGTTCCTAAGTTCGGAAAAAGTTAACAGATTGTCTTATGTTTTATTAATCAGAAAAAGTTTTTCCCGTGTGAAAGGTAAAGGCATCGAAAGGAATATAATCGAAAAATAACTAATTTAAGTAACTACACACCATTTTATGTTATATAACACATCGTTAATCGTTCCGGTACATTTTTGTTCGATGCATCGTGTTCGATGCATTGAACTACTAATCGCTTTCGATATATCGAACACGATGAGTTGTTCAATGCATCGAACACGACGCATCGTTAAACAATAATCGCCGCTCCCTAGTTTTAATAATTATAAAATACTTATAAAAGTTTTTTTATGAGCCTGATTTATTAAAAAGTATTTTAACTCATAAAAATGCTTCAAAAGCATCTGTCATTTTATTTTTAGATTCAAAACTCTATTCCCTTTCAAATCGGAAATAAATTTAGGAAACATAAATTATTAATGTACAAGTATTCTAATTTCCTCCGAACACTTATGCATAAATAGTATTTATATTTATAACATAATTACTTAATTTTTAAGTAAAGAAAAATTAAACGATATTTGTTTACAAATTTAATAAGCCATTTGTCAAAAGAGCAAAAGCGGCTTCGCTTTTAGGATCGAAGTTAGACATCTAGTATATATAATAATATTAAATATAGTGATATATTTAATTAATTTGCCTAAATATATTAAGCTTCTTTTTAATAAACAACTACATTTACACTCGAGGTCTCAATTTCAACTTGCAAAATAAAGTGTAAACTCGATCTCCATAAATATTTTCTCTTCTAAATAATATATTATACTATTGGGAAGA